GGGCGGCCGAACCGGGATCATATATAGGCAGCCGCCTTCATGTTCAATTTCTTGCGACCCGTCATGCAGATACACCGACAGATGATTTCCCCAACGATGAAAGTAAATTCTGTCTGAATACCCGAAGCTCGGTATGGACCCAAGTATTAACTCCCAAAATAACCTTCACGGCCATTAAGTTTGCCATTGGCCGTTGCATTGGCCCCAATGGTGACCTTTGACATAAGCCCTGGTAATGTCAACATGTGTCAACCTAAGACTCAAACCCAGGAATCTCAATGATGCTGTTCGCAACTTTACATTCGAGAGTCTGATGTCAGTAAAGTTAAGTTTGCGTTGACCCAATATGTTCATCTTATGCGCAAGCCTAACCACGTATAAGCCTTGCATTAGTCGTAGCTTGGAGAACCCTCCTATTCTGTTTCATGTTCACCCGAAAGAGACGCCTTATAGCTCAACACCATAGCTCGTGTGGATGAAAATGCCATCCCGACAGACAACCTCACTAATTAAATCCCCAAATAAGGCCCATATCGACATCAAGGTTAATACAACAAAAAATGTTAACCTGAATCTCACCCCGATGGCAAGGATACCGGGTCTCCCTGGCAACCCTAATACTGGATCTGGCACCAAGATGGACCTTACTCATAACCTTTTGAGCCTTACTCGCAAGTCCCAAGGAAGACAAAAGCTTAGCTTCCCACAAGATGGCTGTTCTTGGTTGGTTTTGCTTTCCAAAGACAAAACGAGGGTCGATAGTTCATGCAGAGGGGTTACCATATTCATATTCATATTATATTATGTTCTATTATATTATATTATATTATAATATAATATATTCTATTCTATTATATTATATTATATTATATTATATTATATTATATTGTATTGTATTGTATTATATTATATATATAGGTAGACATAGATATATACTGATGGCAACAGAACGACATGTGTGCGTGTGGGTTTGGGTGTGCAGATAGATACGAATATGCATATATATATATATATATGCAAAGATGTACATGTATACACATGTTTGCTGGCACTTTGCCTATTTTACCTTATATGTTTATGTCAGGTTTATGTCTTTTTGGCGGGTCGTCGTTTCACAGCTTGACGTGGCATGCGGAGCGGCGGACTAATTGTTTTTGTTGCTGATGTGTGGATAGAAAATGTCCAGTGAACCCGGAGGCGAGGTGCCGCGCTACTTCGTCCGGGCGCGTACCCGTGGGAAGAATGCAGCCACCCAGGCCCTCACAACCTTCTACACTTAGAGCCAAGCCGCGACATGAACGCTTTACGAGCACGTCCCTCGTCGATTTAGAGTTGCCGAAGCCTGACAGCAGGCTGGTTCATGGGCAACCGTCTGCATACAGTAGTTCCGACAACTAGAAGGTATTAAGCCAAGCCTTGGCAAGCCGGGTGCAGGTAAATTCTCTTCCAGAGTTCGTTCCTTTGGTCCTTGCACCTGTCGGATTTCAGAAGAGCTAGCCCTCGAAGATGTCAGTTGAGTTTGATGGCTTCAGGCCGCAAGTAGATCCTCTGCTGCTTCTGAGCTCCAGCTTTCCAGTGTCAATGTCCTCGAAGACGCCCTTCGCAGCTCCTTGAAGCGTCTCTTCTGCATTCAGCGGCTGCGTCGTAGGTCCCGCACTTCGAACTGACGTTGTCGTCACTATCTTGCGAAGCAGTCAGGGCCTGTTAACCCCCAGTCATACCTGCTACTACGTCCCGCCACCGAAGCGGCCAGCTAAGAAAAGTGCCAGCCAAGAAGACAACAACTGCTCTAGATGGTTTTAGTGGGCTTTTCAACTTGCTCATGTTTTCATCGAAGACAACAGACCATTACTTACACTTCGCGAAGTGCCGTGTAAATGCGCCTATTGTTACTGCATTCCCGATTTAGACCGGTAGCTGCGAAGGCCAGCAGAGCAGGAGCCAGTTCTCCAGCCCTCGACAGATCAATGACATTGCTCCACAATTTGGCTTCTGCCGTGTTTTTTCTGGGCAACACTGTACCTGCCTCCGCTCTCGGTTTCATCATTCAAGGTGCGGCCTTCCGCAGGCTCAGCCAGCAGCCTCCCTGCAGGCACGGTTGGGCACCCGCTCAGCCGCCCTTGCAAGGGTCTCGTCTCCGCATGAGCCGACAGCTAGTGCAATAATATGCAATAATAATTGATGACTAATAATAATATTAATAAGTAACACGTCACGTAGCGCAGCAAGTTTGAAACCCTTTGCACACTTCTTGACACCATGGCCATGGCTGCCTGCTTGTCTACAAACATTTTCACCAGTGTGGCGGTCACGTGTTCTGTACGGTAAATCATTCGTCCAGCAACTGTAGTGAGACCTCTAGCACTTAACCAGGATGCAAACCTGGTGGTCTGGCTGTCCGCTGGCCGGAGTGTTGTCTGCGGTGCCTTGGCTGACAATGGCACTGTCCGACCTCAGCTTTGCCTTCCGTGACTTCCCTGCCAGGCTGCCAGTGCTCATGTGTATTGTCATAGACACTCCCCGTCTTCAATGTCAAACGCCTGTAACACGGTTTCTCTGTGTGTGTGTGTATGTCAATATATACAGTATTCGGTTCAGAAGTTGATAGAATGGGAAGCACATATGCTGGTTAATGGGCATACTCCAGCCATGCCATGTCCCCTGCTATGAACAGCAGTTTGAAGCTTGTTTGACTGAGCCTGCAGCAGCAAGAGGAAGGCTTCTGAAGCCAGTACTCTGTTGCGAAGACATTGGAAATCCTGCGGCACTGCAGGTTTGCCGGTGCTTTTTCGCAGAAGTTCCGCACCAAACTTGCTGCTTGGGCACGATTGGGTGTCTTCCCAGTCCTGTGGTTGTGCTCGAAACACAAGTTTTAACGCGATAACTCTTCCTTGAAGACACGGATGGAGTTTTCCGCCACTTCACCGCAGCCTCAGGCCGTTCTGGGGCCTTCACCGTTCCGTGGCATTCGCACTGGGAGCGGCGGCGAAGCTTCGGGAGGCCATCGAAAATCTTTGTTTTACAGTGCTTTCGGGTATTGAAGCTCAGCGACAGTTTGAAAGCACACCCCCTTGCATCCCTCGTGAACGCTTGGCTAAAGCATCCGCCAGGCAGCAACTGCAACAAAGACTGCAAACAAACATCAGTGAGTCAAAACTGTTTAGCAGTCTATCATTCGGTTTGTCCTCTGCACAGAGCCGCCCTGCAGACGGCTTTGTGAAGAGCATATGTGCACTTTTGTTTTGGGCTTGCAGCAGTGCTATCTGCTATCGCACCTTGGCCCCGACAGAGCTTGGGAGGGACTCTAGACTGCAAATATCAGAGTCTTGATGCTTCGAGGTCCGCCGGGTCAGACCAATTCACGCATGAATGTGTTCTTGAGATTTCTTGAGTCTTCCTAGCAATGAGCTCGAATTCTACACAATGCCTGATCCAGGTTTTACACGCCCCCCGCCCAGTGCCACCGTTTGCTACCCCAGAAGCACATGGAGTTTGTCAGCTTCGAGAATCTGGGTTTAGTGCAATACCCGTCTACTATCGCCATAGCGGGCATTGTAGCTGTCACAACTGCAAAAAACGCCGCACGCGAGCGATGCCAAAAGTGCTGAGACCTTGGTAGGGGGGATGGCGTCTTGGCATCTTAGCTCACCTTTTGTTCATGGAGAGATGGTACTCCTGTTTCCTTCCTTGCGACTTGCGAGGGGGAGCTGGTTCTGGATCCCTTCGCTGGCCGCGGTGCGCTGCTCGCAGCTCTCGCACGGCGCTGGCCGAGTCGATTCCTAGGCAAAGGGGGAATCGGGAGGCCATCTTAGGTCCCCGTTATGTAGGTGTAGTTTGCAATGGGGCCCAGGGTGCACAGTGCCGCTGGAGACTTACGGCCCAGCCACGGACAGCAGTGAGCAGAGCTCCCGACCATCATGTGCTCCGTGTCCTGCCGCCTGATGCCGCTAGGTTTCGAGTTGGACCCGACCCGAGTCACCGAAGCTGAGGCTGCAAGTCTGCGCTTGTGCGGGGCATTTGCTATCAGCTTCATATCCGTCGGCGCAGGTCTGTTGTTTGAATCTTTACAGATATCTCTGCATGCATGGTTCACACTCGTTCCGAGGTGGCTTCTTTTCCAGAAGCCACGGCTCTTATTCTTCGAGAAATGCCAAGCTATCAGCGATTTCTAGTCCTAATCAGCTCCATCGGTGTCAACGCGTTCGTAGTTACAGGACCCGACAGACTGTAGCCAGTTCCAGTCTTGACGCTTGCAGCGGCCCAGCAAAAGAAGGATTCGCTTGTCGTCGTCCTACTTGCATGAGCCTGTCGCGACTCATGCATCACGCATGGAGGCCAACTTCCAGGCCACCGGTCTCCGGGACCTGGCCGAGGTCCGCTGCGCCGATGTGCCATGGAGAGCATCCAGCGTAGCATAGGCTTCGGGAGGTGCAAGCAGCTTACCGCGGCAAAGTGCGGCCTTGCAGTCAATTGACTTTGCGCGCAGCGGACATGCGTGGAGGATGAGCGGACATGCAAAGCTCACCGTCGCGTGTTGTGCAGTAGTAGTGTCAAACAGCTGCAACACCGGAAGCATCGGAGAATCCGTAAGCTTAGGCGGGCATGCAGGAAACGTGCTCGAAGATGTTGATTGGAAAGGTGCAACAGCGGCGACGCGAAAACAAGTGATTTCAAAACTCGAAAAGCCTGCTTGACATCTCGGCCAGCCAACCGTGCATGTCGGTGACGCGCTTCCCCACAGCCTCACTCTCGGTTGCGTGCGGTCTTGACACGAGCCGCCACGAACAGTATGAGTTCAGCGTTCTGATGGTTGCCAATGGGATCGGGGAAGCGGAGCCCACACGCCTTGGAAGCCTCGTAGAATGGCAGGGGTTGCTCCAAACCCAATTATTGAGCCTCGGTCTCAGGCACGACAGCTTCCGCTGTCGGATGCCTCTTTGCCAGCACTGGACGTCTGGAAGGACAAATTCAGAATCGGCTTCGATGTTAGGCGTGTGTCATGAGTACCAACATTCTGCAAGTGCTCGGTTGTCTGATGTCTGCGCTATTGGCTTGTTCCATTTCCTCGTAGAGTAAAGCCCCTCGCTTCTATTGGATCTTCATGGAGAGGCATCAAAGCGGATGTCAGAATTGCGCCACTACACCAGACTCGCGTAAGGACTCCGTCGACGTCGTTGTCTCGGATCTTCCCTTCGGCCGTAAGTACGGCAGCGTGCGGAGTCCAAGAGCTCAGGTCCCTCAGGGGGCCCAGACTTTGGGCGACGGGCCTTCATGCCACGATGGCTCCTCTGAACCTGGAGCGATCGGATTTCAGAATTCAACCACTGACCTGGTAACATCTCCAAAGCAACTACTTGTATCCAGACATCAAGCAGATTTCAAATCCGCACGCCTTCTGGGTCATGATCGGAGCGGCCACAAACTAAGCAATCCTCTGGACGCCTACAGTCTACAGCTAGAAAAGTTAAAGGATGTACATCCCAGCATGGAAGTCTCCTAACAAGGTGGAGGACAACCGCAGCCTCTATCCCGCAGCTTTCCGGGAGGCCAGGCAGGGCCGAGACTGGGAATACTGAAGGTTGCCGAATGGAGACTGTTATTCAGGAAGGGCTGAAAGAGTTCTCGATATATTGCATTACTAAGCAGGTTGAGTTTGGTTTGATGCAGCGCTAGACGCTCCTCTGCACCGCGCTCCACGAACTGGAGCGGCCAAGGTAGACACATGTTTCGGCAGTCTCTCTGTCTTTGCCGTCCGGCACAGGTTGCGCGAGTGCTCCGTCCGGGCGGTCGTGGTGTCGTAGCTACTGGAGACGAGAGTGCCGAGGCGAGATACCTCGAGGGCAGGTTGACTTCGGCAGCAGTTGCGAAGTCGCAGAAACGACTTGATGTTGCTGTAGCGACCGATGGTTAACTGCTACTCTTGTATATACAGAACATGATCATGAAAAAAGTAAACTTCACCACGGATGATACCTTGATCTATTCAAAGCAATACCCGTACAGCAATAAACGATGATGACACTATGACAGAGCAGTATATGCATGCATTATATATATATATATACATGAGCATAAAGCATAAATGCAGTTGTATACCGTCGTGTGCAGCAGATATTGGACTCGGCCCTCGCTGCCGCTGATCTTTGCCGTGTGGGCGCCATGCCTTTCGCCTTCGGAGGCGATGTCATTTTCACTGGTTACTGTTTGCATTTCTTTAAGAAATACAAAAATCACTTCATATCACTATCAATTACGAGACCATGTCGGTTGTAGTGGTGGCAGAGGTCTTAGTCGCAGCAGCAGCGGCGGCGGCAGTAACGGCAGAAGCAGCAGCACGAGTAGTGGTGGTGGTGATCGTAGTGGTGGTAGCTGTTTTCTCCCTCGTGTGTCATCGGGAGAAGCAGAGACCCCAAGGTGAGCATTCCAATTAAGTTTCTCCACAAGAAAGAACGCCAACAATCACTTCGAGTTCATGCGGCTCACATCTGCCAGGCAACAGCGACGATGCAGGTTGCAAAGCCGTTTGCTTTGCAAAAGGCTGTGGGGAGAGGCTTCCTGCTCGTGCTGAACCCACATGTCGTGACCCAATCCCCAAAATAGCGCCCAAACCCAGCCTAAACCCTACATTCCTTGGAACGGCTGCATTTCAGACTGTGTGGATGCCTTCATGTCTTGCTCTCGAGCGCCTTGAGCATGGCTTCAGGGAGCTCTTCGACTGGAGCCTCGCCGAAGCGGAGGTCAGGGCTTGGCTTTTCAGGGGGGGGGGGGCCTTAGGACTAAGTTGCGGATGGGACTGCAGGCTTACATACGGATAACGCGTGGTGAGCTTCCAGCAGTATACGCTATTGAACTCCTCCATCCCATCCCCCAGGCCGCTTTTTCTGGTGAAGCCATCCTCGTACGACTTCTTCTCAGCATTCCTGTCAGGGCGACTGGCAGCGCAAATGGCGTTTTGCAGAGACCGTGCCGAAGCCCTGGTCTGAATCCGGCAAGTTAAAAGGCAGGCCAAAGCTCTGGATTCGAAAGCCTGAGAACAAGTAGCTCGAGGATGAATACCAGCAGAATTGCGCGGCAGACGAATCAAACATGTCATTTATACCCTATAGTTATACCAGGTGCCTGATACTTGGGCGGGCGTACACAAGAACCTGGTCCACTCGTCTTCTGGTCAACACACTCCACTGCCGTGAAGTCTTTCAAGGGCAGGCGTTCAAGGCTTAAGGCAAAGCATAAGGCATCCGCTATGTAGGACTGCAAGTATCTGCATTTTGGCATTAAGGTGTGGTTTGTGGACGTTGAGTGGCCCAACATGATTCCGTTGGGTCATCGTAGCTGGCACTTATGCCCAGGTAACTCATAGGGCATAGGGGCTGCTGCCACTTCCAGCTAAACCGGGATTCCCCTGTGCGATCTCAAACTTGTGCGGTGATGGCCCAGCTCAGGATGGATATCTACTCGCCCGGGAGACCGCCAGGAAAAGACATGGTAGCAGTCTTGCGTGGTGTGGGTCGTGACATGATGCCAGCACTTTCGAGAGAATCTCTTACTCTTCACTCAAAGCCTTGGCCAGGTCCAGGCTTCCACGGAACTCTTCACCTGCAGAAGAACCCTGAGAACCTGAACTCCCAGTCAAATCATTCACATCCTGACCAGCAACTTCCGATGGCTTGAACAGACCAGAACCGTAGATCCAACGTCATCGTGGCATCACATCTTAGCTCTAATTACCTTCTTTCACGCAGTTCAAGCAGCATTTGAGATAGTTGGGAAGAAACCTCTTGGCGATGCTGTTCGGCTGCATGGCCTGTCACGCCCCCGAATGCCACTGTCGAGGCGGACGACCTGTTGCGGAATGTCGGGGCGGGACAGTGCATGATCTGCAGCGGGTCTGTGAGGTCTGCTAAAGGTACCTTGCTAGAGACTTTTTCATTCTGCGCTTGGCAGCGACTTGAGGAGCGAGCTTGTCTCTTTGCCCTGGACTGCAAGGTTTGCAAAGATGTTTGGGTTTCGATGCAGGTCGAGTCCGGCCTCCTTTGATGGCCGCATGCCCGGACCGCGTGTTGAGAATGCGAGCGGTAGTTCGGGGTTCGCCTGGTGGAGGACCGCGTGCTAAGCAAAAGAAGTGACATTGAGGCTAAAACATAGGTTCCGAAAGCCGTACCTGACCTCGCATTCCGACACATTCCCAAGGCAGAATGCCCATGACATGCAGCGAAAAGTCCAAAGCCGGCCTCAGGCCCAGCCTCCCCGCCGGCCCGAAAGAAGAGGAAAGCCGGCGGCACCAGAAAGAAGGCGCCAAAGTTCTGTGACGAGAGACTAAGAGGCAGGGACTAGGGACTCCTTTCCCCTTCGCCTCGGCGCTTTTTGACGGCAGGTGGCTGCGAGCTTGAAGCGACTGCGTCAGATCCCAAAGAGCCAGGCCTGGTGTATCCTTCGCAAGCGGCTAACGGGCTGTTGTAGACCAGCAAGCTTTGTTGCGGTGTTTCTTGCACCCTTGGAGGTAGGTTGATGCTTGTCAGCTCCATGCCCCGAAACGCTTTGGATTGTCAGGAACTCACATAAGAGACGTGCAAAAAATAGGCCTGCGAACACAACACATCTGGTCTAGCGCCATGCTGTGCACATCATTGGATGCTAAGCGTCTGAGATCTCGCGTCACCATCCCGGGCCCCCTTTTTTTTGCACTTCCGGATAGGCCCAGGACCCTGAGCTGAGACGTGAGCTGCCGCAGCTTTGAGATTCAGACGACTTGGGATCAGCTTGGCCTCCCACCCTATCCCTCACAAAGCTACACTCAGCCCGAAGTGAAGACACGGCCTGCACGCCCTGTCTGAAGCTTACGAGAAAACTGGGAACGGAAATCCGTTGCTCGGAGAGCAAAGCCATGCCCAGCGGCCTTTTCCACGGAGCCAGAAACACCCCGGAAACGCCGAGATACGCTCAAAGACTCCCAGCCAGACCCGTAACTCGCCACCTCCTCCTCGATGCCATGCCTGCGGCCCGCACCGGGTCAAGTGCAACGCGCCTGAAACAGCGTGTAAGTGGGATCGAAAGGCGCTCCGGACAGTGAGCAGGTGGAGGTCAGCCAGCTCGACTTGAACAGTGGGGATGCTGAAGTTATTTGGATCATGGGTTGGTTAGTCTTAGTTCGTGGAGCATCTCAGTGCAAGCTCAGGGGGGGCCGAATGGAAAGAGGCCTGGGAGTGTAGCGTCCCTCCTGCTCACGGTGCTGCTTCTGCGGATTCGGAGATTAGCTTGCAGAAATGAGCTTTTGTTCGGCGTTTACGACCGTGCAAGCACATCAGCGACGGCGCTAACAAAATTATGAAAAGCTTGCAAAGCTCCATTCGGCAAAATCCTGCAGGCCAACGCTGGCAGCAGAGTTCGCACCCCCACCCAGGGGGAAGGTGCGCGGGGAGGGAAAGCGCGACAGGATGATTGCACCCTTCCTGTGGCACAGTGTTCTTCGGCAAGTAGGCCGTTTGTTAGTACATGCGACCTTCATCCGTATTGGACTTTTCATCGTTCACGTACCCGTACCGAATCCTCAAGCCCAACTATCCCACTCGCTGAGATCATGTGGCAGAGTGTGGACGGGTCTATCGAGCGATTCCCATCAAATCCCGAGCCAAGACTTCCACCGCGTAGCGCCTGCCAGAGGCAACTGTGGCCGCAGCCACACGTGAGGAGTGTGTGAGGCACCCCGCGCCGTCAGAACTCTGGGGGCGTGTACGCTCCGCTAGCAGTTGTTGCAGGGCTTGTGTCGTCAGCGTGGATGGGTTCGCTTTCGCTTTGGGATTTGCATTTCCAACCCGTGATGTTATGCCTGCAGCCGTGGGTTCCGTAACTACATGCCTTGAGTCTGTACGCAGAGCCTGCAGATGGCTTGGCAATTCAAGCATGCAGCTCTGTGTCTGTCTCTCTGGTGTTTCCTAGAGATCCCCATCAGCTTGCAATGCCAGGGAAGCGGTGGTGGCAGGATGTCCGGAATGCCTGGGTGAAGAGGCCATTGCAGCCCGGCAGGGTCGCTCCAGAATGTGTCTGGTGGTCAAACTTCGGTTGGGCGGGCGTCAACGAACTGGCTTCATATTAGTGCTAGTGGCTAGTGCAAGTCTACAGTTCATGCTTCTTGGAATCGAGAGTCTCAGTCCGAGCGTTTTTGGATCTTCAGCCCCAGGCCCGGTGATCGCATCCGCTGCTCCGTTGCCGAAGCCGCATGCAGCCCAGATCCAAGGAATACCTTGCAAATGTGGCCGTCTCCGTCGTCGAAGACTCGGAGGATGCAGCAACCCTGTGGAGAGAGCTGGAGGCTGCGAAGCGGGGAAGGGCTGGCATTCTGGGCTAGGCCCGTGGCTTTCCACAAGATCCTGGTAGGTTGCAAGACAGGCTTGGGTATAGATACTGCTATTCTGCTATTAGCGTATATCAGTGCGGCGAAAGCTCCCTGCACCCTGGGACTCCAAAGCAGCTTGTAAAGCTGATGCAAGTCTGGTTCGCCGGAAGAAGAGTCAGAAGCCTTTCAGCTTCCGGTTGGACCAGGAGGGCTTCTTGCCCATGCTCCAGGAGTACGAGGACCCTGTTTCTTGGATTGGGTTTGCAAGTCGCGCCGAACAGACGCTTCTCAGAGTTCTTTCCACGTGTCGTTCTTGATGGACTAATGATTGACTCCCAGGATCCCATGAAGGTGAAGCATGCCAAAAATAGCCGTTTGATAGAAGGGCTCGGGCTGGAGGTGAAGCCCAATACCAATAAGGATGGGATTACCGCATTGCCCGTTGGGAACCTTGTGTTGCCAGGAGATTTCGCCTGAGTTGGCGAGCTCGATTTGCGAAAAGGTCATTGAGGTAGGCACTGCCACGACGAACTCGGCAGTCACCAGTCACCTGCAGGAGTCAGCCTCGTATGCACGCTCGCACGCGCCCACCATCACAGACAAACGAAGACAGAGATCGCGTTCGCACGGGCGCGACATCGCAGTTGCTTCAAACTAATAGAGTTCAACATAGATCGCCTGTGTAGGACTTGGGACCTGATGCACCTGCAGGGTCTTGTGCCTCTCAACCAACTTGTGGCAACTATCTGCCATCCTGTCAGAGGCTGTTACAGAACTCGGGGATGCAGCGTCCTTTCACTGAGTGATCTCCATGCAGGCAGCCGCGCCGGCTGCACCTTCTGCGGAGACAGAAGCCGTCGAGGCGTGTGTGAGCTTGGCAACGTGTGTGCAATCAGTCTGTGCAGGGCTTGGGGTCATGTAGACATATGCAGCCTGAACAACCTGCACTGCAAAGGGGCATTACGTAGATGTAGCTGGTTGCAGAAAAGAAATGTATTCGGTCTTTGTTCAAGCATCACCTCAAGCTGTTTACATTTTGAGTACGCTGGCCAAATTGGATTTCCTTATCCTTCGTCCTCGTCAGGACAGTGACGAGTTTCTCTGCCGCGTGCCGAATCACGGCCCGAATCAATTAGGTGAGGCCGCGAGGCCAGTGTCTTGTGACATGGTTGTGCAGTTGGAGCATACTCTAGCATGCGGTGCCGTTTTGTACGCTACCCTACGATACGAGACTAGGCTTGACTCTATCAGACTGGCTATACTGTAGTAGGCTATGCGGCCATACTAATACGGTATTATCCGATTATTTTGCAGAAAGCACGGCAAAAGACTGAACCCATTACTTTACGAGGGGAGCCTGCGCTGTCTCACCCCAGCTGTTACGTTCATGTCGTAGAACCTTGTTTACTATGCAGGCCCGTATGCTCTACGCGACATCCTGTAATGCCCTTTTATGTTCAGTGTCCCAGTTCTGAGTTTCGATGAGAAGCAGTACAGACTTCTTTCTTCTCAGCGGAAACTGCAAACTCCCTGAACCAATCCGGCCCAGGAACCTCCTCCTGATGTATGGGGGCAGTCCTGAGCCCCTGTTGAAGGGGGCACAGCTCGAGATCAGGTGCCTTGCTGACGAAACGCTTTGAAGCTTCCGGACCGCCCCAGGGCTTCTGGAGAGGAGTTGGTGCATTGCTGAGCAGAATGTTCCTGCCTCTCTGAGCATAAGCATCATCGCCGTCGTGCCCCTGTTTTGAAGCACCATGTTATTGCTGTTGTTCGTGTTGTCCTGTGTTTCTTATTCTTGCGCAGGGGCTGGTCCACTTGAAAGCACCGAACACCCCGTTAGTCTGTATCGCGCGAAGCTTACCCGAAGTCCCTGCAACTCCACTTGGTGCCACTGGAAGGCGGGGTCATCGCTATGGTGTGGTGGGTAGCAATGGCTCTGGAAAGACGACGCTCATGGCCAGGTGGGAGATCACCGAAAGGACTTTCAAGATTGAAACTTCGGCCTTTCGAACTCGGGCTTCGGTCCTGGGTCCTCGCTTTGCAACCGACCACAACAGGACCCTGTCTGTGCCTGCGGGTGGTTTTCAGCCACCAAAAGACTTCTCCAGGCTCGCCAGCAAAGATCTGATGGGCCTTCCGGAGGCGGGTCAGTGCGGGTCAGTTTTGCAGAGGTCTGGCGATGCCTTCAGGGACCGTGAGGTTTGGCGTGTAGCGCAGTCCCCCCCAATTGATTGAGCCTCTTCGAAGGACCTGCGAGTCGTCCTCCTGAGACACGAGGCGGCCGAACTCATCTGGCGCACACATGTTTGAGTTTGAGCCACGCTTAGGCCCCAGAAGTTTCAGGTGCGGCCGACGTGTCCTTCTCCCAACAGGCAATTCCAACGGAACTCGCCGTAAACTGTTGGACCGATACCGGAAGCGCCCGGTGTTTGGCAGGATCCATTAGCACTCAACCATGCGGTGGGTTCGGGGCTTTGGGTTTACATAGTGTTCAGATTGAAGGTGGTTGCTGTAGCTACTCAGCTACTCGTTTGTACCAGCCAACTTGGGGAGCTTGTTGTACTGTCGTTTGACTTGGACCGTGCTGGTGCTGCTCCAATCGCTGTGAAATCATCGTACATTGCCGTTGCGCAACCCCAAACCCCAAAAACCTTCAGCAATGCTGGCAGGCCATACTCCAGGGAGTCCGGAAATCCACGAAGGCTTCGACTCCGCACTGGGTCTCCGAAAGTTCGGAATCTGCAGTTCAAAGAGTGGGGCCTAAGCGGCAGGGACCCGGTCCGATCCCCTAGCCTAGCTTGGGAGTTTTGGCGAATGAAGTGCTCTATATAGATCCGTGCCGAATCCTCAAAGCTTCGCGCGTCCGACTGTCCATTCTTGTCTGAGCTTGGGATCTGAAAGTTTGAGTAAAGGACTTTAGGGCTGCCAAGTTACCGAAGCTTCGGAAGCCCATGAGCCGAGCCGCAAGGGAGGGGAGGAGAGCACTTCGGGCCTTTGGGGACCTCAGTGGTTTTTAGATTAGGGTTTAAGTTAGGGGATTAGGGTCTCGAAGATACAGCTGAATTCCCCTACCGCACGAGCCATGAACCTTGAATCCAAAGCGCCACGAGCATTTCGATCTAGCCAAGGTGCGCGACTACGTGCTGCAGCGAAATGTCGGGGAAGGTGCAGCATCTGAGGAGGTCTCTTTGCGGGGCTCAAGATCAGTGGCATTCAAAGCTTTCAGCTGCCTGGTTGCCGGGAGAAGGGAGACCCAAATGGGTGATCATGGAACTTCCGGGTCCTTGGTCCCTGTCCTCGCCGTTCCGTTCGTGACCACATGGCATACATCTCAGAAAGCCGTTAGGTGGGTGCCAACACATCAGTCAGGCGTGAACAAGGATCTTGCATGAATAGAACTACCAGTGTTTTTATAACGTCCCTAGCAGGTCCCCTCAATGAGCACGTCCTGTTTTAAGTCGAGCGTTAATCGTGCTTCCAGAATTTCGGTTTTCAGGGCTAGGGCTATGTTCTGTGGATTTCGTGGCTTAGTAGCACAGCGCTCAAGACTCAAGGCTCAACTTCCTTGGTTTCCGAAATTCGACCCGCAGGACATGGCCCAAGCACTTCGCGACATGGGCTTCGAGCGAGAGGCACGTTGAGCATCCTGCGGGCAGGTTCCGTTGCTTGTTGCGAGTCGTTATCGAGGCCTGGGTGATGCGCAGGGTAAGCAGTCTACATCGTACGGGGTCTTTTGATAGTCGCCGGGTGTAGTCGGAGGTCCTAGTACTTCGCGACTTCTTGGTACAAATCTTTGCTTTCGGGATGAAGAAGTTGAAGAGGGGGGCCTCAAACCTGGGAAAGCTCAAAAGCATGGCGATCTTTTTAACTGCTCTGCGCACTGAGCTGCATGGAACGGCCCCTACAGGCCTGAGCACCCTGCCAAGCACAACAGCTCCTACGCACTAGACCAGCGAAAGCAGCAGAGAACGAACTGCCCTGTCGAGGAGCAGCTTGGGCAGGCCGTGCTCGCCCTGAGCGGCGGTTGGTCGCTAGGAGAGCAAGGTAAATGTGGAGTTGCGAAAGAATCAAAGTGCGTTTTCGCAATCGCTTTTATGATCTGACACAACAACCACCCCTACCTTGTCGAACCATTGCTCAGTCTTTCGCCGCATCTAGCTCCGCTCAGGTTGCTATTCTCCTACAGTAGAAGCCGAAAAGTTGGAACATTGTCCTCATGCTCTTAGGATAAAGTATAGGGGATCCCAGCACTGCTCATCCACCATGTTTCAACTTTCTGGGATTCCCTATAATTGGCCGATGGCTGCAAGCTCCGAGGCAGATGCGCCTCGCACTGGCCTGCGCTGTGGCTCGAAAAGTGCCTCGGCTTGCGCGGAAGACGTGGGACTGTGCACGATGCCGAATGTCGTTCACGGTCGCCTGGGCTCCGTGAAGCGCATGGAACCCTCGTAGTGTTCAGTCCATGAGTATCCATGAACTGCGCACGGGCCCTCAGAGAGAGGATATCGGAACATGCCGAGAGGTTTGCGATTAGCAAGCCTCCAAAACAGCTCACTCTCGATCTTTGTTGCCGTCGCCGACAACCGTTCTTGGACGAGAACGAACGCTACACCGAGCACCGCAAAGCAGTCATCTTGACGCAGAAGTTTAAACAGCTAAGGCCAATTTGCTCTTGCTTGATGAGCCCACGAACCATTTGGACGTAGAAGGCGTCCAATGGTTGGTGGATTTCATCAAACGGATACTTGGCAGCATTGTCAGAAGTAGCTTTGACTATGTGCTGCGTTGCATGCAATGGGCCGCGGATCAGCTCCCACCTCTAGGCCACAAGAATTTGCATAAATTCCCGACCGAGGACTTGTCAGAGTGAGGATTCCGACGGTTCAGGCGCGACATGCCGCTTGAGCCGGCTTTTGCTGGCCAGGTTTTTTGAATCTTTAGTTTTGGTGATTTGGTTGCCAAGATTCCAGGGCAGGTTGTGAAACAATGGAACTTCTGGCACAGAACAGAACCTATGTTCACCCCGACACCTGCACGGGCTCCACAAAACTCAGTACAGAGTCGCTTTCAGGGGCATAGAGGCCATTCGGGAAGCCTTGAAGGGGAGCGTGGTTCGCTCCCGGCACGAAATGACGAAGTCAACGTGGGTCAAGGGACTGCAACATATTCAGGCTGAGGCTGGGTACACCCTGGAGCGGTCATTGGGTATTAGTTACATTAGTTGACTCTGAAGAGAAGTCAAGCATCCCCATTCCTAGCCTTCAGGCGCTGCTTTGATCGTTTCGCACGACCCCGATTTTCTGGACCGCGTCTGTACCGAGCCTCGCTTCTTCTACGAGCCACAATGTGGATTGCAACACCCTTTCTGGGTGTTCGGATCAGGTCTTCGGTTCTGGAACATCCTATGGTGTCTGTTGCCATACGTTGCCATAGTCAAACTCCAATCGTCAAGACGGCTCACGACCCGAGATGTGTCCTGCATCCGTGTTGCATGTGTTGCATGACCTGTTCCGCTTAGGCCTTTGAGCCCGGCCGCCATCCTTCATAAGTGTCTCAGTCGAGACTCAATCTGCAAGTGCTTGAACTTGTGTGCACTCAAGCCAAGGACGTCGTCCACTTCTCGCCGAGCAACCAGAAAGGCAGGTGCGAGTACCTGATCAAGCGTTGTGCAGCTTCGTTGCCTGCAGACTGCATGCCTAGAAAACCAGAGACCCCTTTCCCGATTCTCCATCTTCCGTGCTGAATTCGGAACTCTCACAGACGTAAAGTCTTGGGCATGACTCCTTGAATTCCTCCAGCCTCCGCGCACTCTACCTTTGCCGCGAAGCGACGTGTTGCTTCCAGGAAAGCTGGCGTACTACCCCGGAACTTTCTCCGCTTTCAAGGCTGAGGGAGGATGCGGTTCAGCCCGGATCCGGGAGGTTTCCGATTGAGAGATGCCGGAGATGCGAAGGAAACTGTCCACGATTGGCTTTTATTGTCTTCGTGGGTCGTTCCAGCTCCTGGGCGGCTTTGAGCTACTCGCCCCCAAATACTCAAAGAAACAAATGGAACTGTGCAGCGGAAACGGTTACGCGTGAGCTCAAGCACACTGCGACCATCGTAGCAAGTAAGGCGAGATCATGCTCAGCATCACCACCATCATCAATATCACGTTCATTGCCATCGAAGGTTGCAGAGTTATTTCGAGGCCACTGGTGTAGCTATTTCGCATTTCCCCATGCAACTTCCATGCAAGCCCCTGGCGTGCCTCCAAGCGGAAGCCCCCTCTTTAATCTGGGCACAAGTTTGACACCTCGCAGGCATCTGCTCTCAATGGAGATGATGCCGAGGCACCCTAGTCAAGCATCGGACTCGACCGACTTGAGTTGCTGTCTACTGAAAATGGGGGGTGGGGGAGGTGGAGACGCATTTCAGTCGACACCGAAGCTCTCCAAGTTTCATGCTGCAGAGAGCTTGAACCACACAGCGAGGATGAGAGCATGACTATGGTGACACACACAAACTGAGTGCGTCTCCGAAATCTCGTACCAGTAGCAGAGGCGCTCGCCAAACTCAGTTTGCTCTGTGTCGAAGAGCTGAAGAAAGCACCCGAGCACCCCAATCCGCCCTCATCCAGGCAGAGCGGCTGCTCGAAACTGCCGAAAAGGCTGCCCCGGATCGACCAGGCCCGAGTCTTGCTATGCTCAGGGCGTCGGAAGATCAACAGGTTCGTCGAATCGACACACCGAGGCATGACACCGAGACCAGGGGCAATATCTTCTGTCTATGGAGCTGGATAGAACGTGGATCGAGACTAATGGATGCCGCGCTGCTAGACGTGCAGGCTTGCATAAGCAAAGCGACAATTGGGCCCCTCACCAGGCATCGGCTTGGGACCGAACGATGGCAATCGCATGGCCTTTCCCATCCCCGCGACTCGAGCTCAAATTCCAGCTCCTCCATGCTTAAGCAAGCGCAAGGTACTCTAAGAGCGATAGTGCGCCGGATGGGCTGTGATTTGTTTCGCTTCGAGCACGAATGGAAATCTCTGAGGCTTCTATAGTTCTGGAACTGGTGCGGTGTTGTTCGTGCAGAGACTACCATAGTACTCTCGTACTGGCAAGAACTTTCATAATCCTCATAACCAGTCCCATATTGATTTGTGAAAGCTGACCAACAAGACGTCTGCAAAACGTGTGGTTTGACCTGGCTTTGTGAGGAGCAACGGTGCACAGAACTCCGCAACATTTGCATGCTCTGCTACTGCACAGCGGGGATGTTAATGCAACTCAGCTGGCTCCACAGTCTGGGGAACCAAGGAAAAGATCGGGGACACGTGCGCTGAGCGCAAGGCAGAAGTGCGGGGTATGCAGATTAGGGATCATTGTCGGGTTTTGGGCTCTGAAATTAGCAAGTTTGGAATTTAGGCAGCTTTGGAACTGCTTATTGTCAGCCATCACTCGCGCACTACGGAGAATGTTGGTCTTTAAGTCAAAACAACCTTGCACAGCTCGGACTTGTTCCAGAATCAGGGTTCCATGTTCCTTGACGCTACCTAAGAGTTGGCAGGCAAGTTCCGAAGTTACTGCCCTGAGAACTCATAAGACCTTGGCAGAACACTCAGATCAGGATCTCAGGAGCGGCCTGTATTTAATAAAACAGACCTGTAGAACGAGAAGGGAGAAGATGTCAGAGTCTTCCCTCTCGGAGGCTCCGGTCGTGACTCTGGAGAAGGCTTCCTTCAAGTACAAAGGCGCGACTGCTCGTTCGGGCTGCTTACCGGACGCAGCTGCGTACGAAACCTCCTCGGAGGCAAGAATAACTAGAAGCATAACAGCACATGGATAGAATGATCGATAAAGAAAGTAAAGAAATACTTTGTGTAGAAGGGCTGCCGGTAGTCACACCAATGAGTCCAATCGTATTAAGACTCACGATCGATTTGGGATCGAGGTCGCATAGAGTTAGGTTGGCTGTAAGACTGCAACTCCAAACAAACGCAACGATAGACACCAACAAAAAAACCGAAAAGGGATGAACAAATCAAACAGAGACCAAAAAGAAAGCAAATAGGGATCACCAAAACATCAAAAAGCTCAGATTCTGCATTTATCAGTACTGGGGCAATAATTCAGAGCGTCTGAGCCGGAGATCCCAATGTTCGGCTAAAGTGGCCCTGTTGCCTTTTTCGTAACGTTACTGTCGCCTGACTACATTTATCACGGTTCTCCAGTACCGCAACAACGAATACGTGCATTATTGCTACGGTTAGTACGATTACTATTGCTGTGACTATGACTGTGATGATAATGATGATGACGACGATGATGATGACTGTTTTTTCACCGCTATTGATAGTCATTGATATATTACGACTATGCTTATTCCCATCACTGTGTTTATTCAGGTTAGTATCTGAGATACGATTGTTGCTGTTATTGTTTGCCTCAACTGTTACTCTTACTTCTTGCCGGTATTGTTACCATAGCGACGAGTACTGCAACGGCCAGTACTACTACTGCGACCCCACACCCTGCCCCTGGCACCGTGTCTCCTTGCCTTCAAGCTCCCATCAAGAAAATAAGATCCCCCCAAAACGTCAACGCCGCGCAGTGCTGCCGCGCGGGTTGGACAGCAAAAATTAAAAAGGGTTATTATCCTGCTCGGCTTTTGCATTGACATTGATGTGTGTTTGATTTGTTTTGATCCGAAAGTCTATAATCTTGAGCATACCCTCGGGAGATAAGAAATTTCGGATTTTTCTTGATCGCTATTTTGAACTGTTGGGATATTGATTTGTTTTTGATCCTTCGAAAAGGACTAGAGACTAGAGCATTTGAGACAAGTTGCAAATCACGCGAAAGGGACTAGAGCATTTGACAAAAGGAGCAACCACTCGAAAGGGACTAGAGCTTTTGAGAAAAGGTGCGAACCACTCGAACGGGACCAGAGCATTTGAGGACAGGGACAAACCGCTCGAAAGGGATTAGAGCATTTGAGAACAAGGACAAACCGCTCGAAAAGGACTAGTGCATTTGAGTAAAGGACGAAACCGCTCGAAACGGATTAGAGCAACTCAAAGAAACAGCGAACCACTCGCAAGGGACTGGAGCGTTTGAGAAAAAGGAGCAAACCGCTCGAAAAGGAGTAGAGCAGCTCGAGAAAAAAGGGATTCGAGCAACTATGGCAAACCGCTCGAAAGGGACTTGAGCATGTGAGAGCAAGGAGCAAGCCGTTCGGAATGGAGTCGGGCGTTCAGAAACAGGAGCAAACCGCTCCAAAGGGACTGGAGCTTTGAAAAAAAGGAGCAAAGCGCTCGAAAAAGGACCCGAGCATGTGACAAAATGGAGAAACACGTTCAAAAGCGACTAGAGCACTTGAGAACAAGGAAGCAAAACGGTTGAAAGCAACTGGAGCTTTGGAACAAACTGAGCAAGCCACTCCGAAGTCACTAGTGCATTTGAGAGAAAGGAGCAAAGGGACTAGAGCATTTGAGAGCAAGATTCAATCTGCCCGACAGGGACTAGACAGTTGAGGAAGTACAGCAAACTGCTCGAGCGGAATTAGAACGTTCGAGAAAAAGGAGCAAACGGCGCGAAAGAGATTAGAGTATTGGAGCAAAACGGGCAAGCAGCTCGACAGGGACAAGAGCATTTGAGAAGAGGAAAACCCTGCTCAAAAGGGACTAGACCAGCTGAGAACAAGGAAGCAACCCTTCGAAAGGGACTAGTGCATCTGAGAGACGGGAGCAATCAGCACGAACAGGGCTAGAACGGTTCTGGACCAGCCGCAACCCGCTCGACAGGGACTGCGGCGTTTGAGAACAAGCAGCGAGCCGCTCGAAAGGGATTTTTGAGAGAACAAAGCGAACCGCTCGAAGGGATTAGAGCATATGAAAACAAGGAGGAAACCGCTGGAAACGAACTGGAGCCTGTGAGAAAAAGACCCAAACCCGTCGAAAAGGGATTAGAGCATTTGGGAACAAGGAGCAAACAGCTCGAAAGGGACTGGAGCATGTGCGAAAGAGAACAAACCGATCGAAATGGACTGGAGCGTCTGAGAGAATGGATCAAGCCGCACGAAAGGGACTATGTAGAGCATATGAAGATGTGAGCAAACCACGCGAAAGGGAGTAGACACTTGAGAAGGAGGAGCAAAGAGGTGGACAAGGGTTGAAACAGTGAAGAAGAAGGAGCAAACCGCTCGAAAAGGACCAGCGCATGTGAAAACAGGAAGCAAACGGTTCAAAAGGGGCTTGAGACTTTGACAAAAAGTTTACAACCCGGCTCCACAGTGACTAGAACATGTGAGCAAAACGAGCAAACCGTTCGAAGGGGACTCGAACATTGAGAGCAAGGGGCAAACCACTCGACACGGATTGGAGCATGTGAGAACAAGGAGCAAACCGCTCGAAAGGAAAAGGGCATCTGACACAAATCCCTCAGGAGCTCATCCAAGTGTGGCTCCGCGATGCGAAGGATTAAACCACTTGGGAAAAAGAACGAGCCCCTCGAAAGGGACTGAAGCGTGGGAGAAGATCGAGCAAAGAGCTTGGAAGGGACTAGAGCGTTTGAGACGAAAGAGCAAGCCGTTCAAAAAGGATATGAGCATTCCAGAGAAAAGGAGCCAACCGCTGGAAAAGTTAGGGCACCAGCATGTGATTAAAACAGGAGCGGAGGGTGACTATTATGGCTATGATGATTGTGATGATGATAATGATGATAAGGATCGTAATGATGCCGATGACGATGACTGTTTTTACCATTATGAGTCTTACTATTAGATATCATTATCTCTAGTTTTATTCCGATTCTCGTTTCTGTTTCGATTAGTATTCGGAAAGCGATTATTGCTTATTGCCTTCACTGTTGCCGTTATTGCTACTGACTGTCGCTTTGGACTACGCATACTGCTACGGCCGGTATTACTACTGCGACCCCAACCACCCTGCTCTTGACAACGTGTCTCTGCCCCCAAGCCCCCCCACCGAGAAAGCAAGATTCAACGCCCCACAGTGCTGCGACGCTGGCGGGACGGCAGGAAATGTTGTCCTTGTCTGGTTTTTGTTTTGCCGCACGCCTCGTCGTCCCAACACAGGAAGCTCATGTGTTCCATTTCTGCGGGTGCACTCGAAATACAAGCAAACCGCACTCAGCGACTCGCGATAGCGGCCAACGCATTCTTTCAGCATCTTTGGAGAAATCTTCCAGTGAACATACTCCACCCCAGATCCTCTCCAACACATGTTTGGCCCAAGACTTCGGGAGGTTCAGCCAGTCCGGTCCTGCACGAGATTTCCGCCGAGCTCGGGATGGCGAGCAGAGTCGGATTCTCGGTTCGGCGAGAAGCTGCTGGCTCGTATGCGCAGTCCTTGCTTCGAGTTTAGGTTTGGCCCAGTTGCATTGTTTTTGGGTGGAGGCTGCAGGGCTGTCCAGGATGAATGCCGAACCGAGATGCGGGGTCCTGAACCTTCCAGGATTTGGGTCTCGGGCCGCAGGATTGGACAGGAAAAAGCAGAAATTCTCAGACATACCAATGCAAGCAATACCAGTAATCTTCGCAATGGCTAGCAATTATACTGACAACGACGATGATATCTCCAAGCGCAGAGAAGCATCCGAAGGTTGGCATTGTGGGCAAAAACGGCTCAGGAAAGTCGACGTGCCCAGTCAGCATCAATCTAGAGAGAGAGAGAGAGAGAGAGAAGAGGGACCTGCAGGCCAATCTCAACAGCCTTCATTCATAACTACTTTGAACACAGTCAAGAGGCGAAAGTGGCGTGGCAGTGTTCTTTTTGCCCACAACCCCTCGCCTCAAAAATTCCGCAGGAATGCTTCACAGAAACTCTTGGACAGTCACCGTCAGGATTGCAATGCGCCACGCGAGCGACATAAAGCCCTTGGGACGACATGTCGGGATGCAATCTCTCCTCACTGTTACAGTGATGAGCTTTCACATTCCCGCCCCACAGCCAGCCCTGCATTGAAGCGCAGCGAACTCGCCCACTGCAAGGCTTTTAGCTCTGCTGGCTGGCCGGCTGGAGCCCAGTGAGGTAGACGGCCGCAGAGGGAGGTGCCACGACGTTGGCTTGTCGAGCAGGATTTCTTGTTGGGGTGAGCAGCGATTCCATCGATCTGGACCGGTCTGGGCATATGCATCAGAGCCGTACTTGTAGCAAGGTGGAGATTGCAGTTTCCTGAACTCGTCGGGCAGGCTTTCGTGGCACAAAGACTTGCGACTGGCCTACATTGCTGCTCGACTCGAGACTTGGTCACGGGTGCCCGGGAGCTTCCTGGCCTTCGCAAGTGCAGGCAAGACTTGCAATAGGCTCCGTAGCCCGTAGGCGATTTTGAAAAAGAAGCCAGACAGGTCGGCTTAGCTGGAAACACGTTTCCATTTGGGCTGACTTCCAAAAGCACCCGAGGCACAGCATTCCCTCGTGCACCTGGGGACACTTGCCTTCTCGGCTTTCGGACGACCGCGGGCCGTGTCTAGATTTCTGAAGTGTCTTCTGTGACTGTTCCATGTTCAGTCCCGCTTGTGATAGTCGAGAACCTCGGATGCAGCATGCCTTGTTGTGCATTTGGCCTAATCAGTCTCGAGGGTTCCATGGGCAAAGATCGCCTCCTAAAGCTGCATGCAGCACAGTGGCTGGCTATACTGCATGACGCGCTCGGCACAGATCTTGTGTGCTGAAGATCACATGGCAGATACACAGAGCTCCGATAGTCCTTCGGCACTTGGGAGAGTTCCGGTGAAAGTTTGCTGAGGAGCTATGTGGACAAGACCCCGCTCGAGTACATGCAGGCTCGCTTCCGCCGAGGCTTCGACGAGGAGACGCCAATCGCCGGGCACTCACAAGCAGAGGGCGCACAAGCTCATGATGCCTGTGGGGCATTTAGACCATAACGTCGTAGACGAGCTTCTCATGTGGCAAGGCAGCTGAAGGGTGGTGCTTGAGACAGGAAGACAGGGAGGGATGGAGTGTGGTGCTCGTCCCTTTGTGCCTGGTGGAGTGGAGCAGAGTGGCAGCCATGCGTGTTGAAGTCAGCTTGCAACACGGAGCTCCGCCTAAGGTTCGCAATGAGAAACTCCTGTCCAAGAAGGACTGAACCCCTTGAGCAGGGCTTCGTGGCTAGTCCTGTGATCCGAGTTCATGCAGTTGGGTTTCTCACTTCCTTTCACAAAGGCTAGCACCCCTTGAGGTGCACTTGAAGGGGAATGCTACTGACGCTTTATGCAGCAGCCTGTGCTCCAAGCGGACCTCAGAGAGTCAAAATCGGTTCAGCTGCGAAGGACGAGGAGGACATGCGAACCTCGGCAGATTTGGATGCGGGTCATCACATCGTCGGCGGCCACGGTCATCCTCATCGTCGTCGTCATGTCGTCCCTCCTCTTTTGCCCCTTTGTTATGGTCATCAGCGTCGCTGCAATCTACCTCCTTACTATCACCACCACCGTCATCGTTATCATCGTCTTCACAGCAGCAGCAGAGTTGCTTGATACTTCCTAAATCGTGCTTTTGTATGTGCTCTTAGGCTTCGCGATGCCAGGTGAAGGGTACAAAGGCCATCAGGTCTTGATGAAAATACAAAAGCCTTGCATAAAGCTAGACGCATACAATCGTCAGGGCAAGCTGAACCAGAAATGCTAGCATGATATAATAAGTAACGGACTTTGGCGGTGCAGTATGCAATGACCATCTAGTCTAGAACTGTGAAAGCAGCGTCGTGACTTCAACCATGTGTTTGTACGCGCACACAATAATAAGCACATGTCGAAGCGCATGCGCGTACACACAGACAGGTGAATGTGTGCTTGTATGCATGCATTTAGTACGTATGTAGGTGGGTAGGTGTGCACATATGATACACGCGTAGATGCACATGCATGTCTCCACAGCTTTGTGCTTGGGGGCCCAAACCTGCCCCAAACTAAGGATTGAGTGGTATCCGGCACGGCAAGCGGGGCAAAGGGGTCGAGGCAGAGAGCTCTGTCCAGTCGTAATTCACGGCAAACACTTAACCAGAGCAGTGAGTACTCACTCGGTGCTGACACTCATCACGGCAAAGATGTGATGTACCAGTGTTCTTGGCGATACCAATACCAAGCAGGAACGTGGGTGTAGTAATTCCGTGGTTGGCGTGATATTCAAGTTTTTGGAAGTATGCACTGGAGGGGACAGGCTGGGGGTGTGAGGCCACACGATCCGTCAGCAGAGGCCGGCACTTCCAAACCGCAACCCTCGAGACTCGCGGTGCATGTCTGAAAGCTCATGGGTACATAGTGAGCTTGCAGAAACGATGAAAATACTTCTGATAATCACACTTACAACATCATGCATCATGCTCGCAGATATGTGTGTTCGTGTGAATACCCGCAACAGGAGCCGGACTCCGGCGGAGCAGAGAGGTTTCACCGTCGTAAGGATCATCATCTCAGCCTCGTCCTGAAAATCCGAACGACGCAGTCGTGATGATGGCAGGAACACAGCAAGTAGTGCTCGAGCAGCACTAAATGAGCTGCAGCATTTCTTGCGGCTTCAGATATGCATTTGCTTGTCAAGGCCTTGCTCGGGCGCGACTAGACTGCAGCTCAGAGGACAGCCAGGACTGGCGAGTCGTTCCAAATAGGTCCTTCTTTTTGGCGGGGATTCCTGATTAAGATGCGACAGGTCTGGGCGTCGCAAGAATCGACAGTCGAATGATGTACCAGCCTGTAAATAGGGGTCTGGATGCATGCCACAGTGAGGAAGGCGATGAGGGAGTATGGGCAACGAACAGTGAGCATTCCAGACGTGTTTCGTTTTCTCGGGTCAATTTAGCTCTGATGCAACCTGGCGACAGGAAAAGCATGCTCCCACTTTGGCACCGAGTAAGTTGAGATTCGAGCGCATTGATCCAGCCCAGGAATAGAAGTCACGGCACCTTGTCGGCGTTTGGGTAACTCGCGAATTTTCTGGGAGCTCCGTTCACATATGTAGTAGGGTGCACTCATATGCATAGCTACTAGCTTGTGACTGCGACTTCCAGTATGTGTTTCGCCCTGCGTCCAATAAATCCACATGGACACTGCGATCTGCAAGAGATCTCTGCAAGGCAGAGAGGCGCCAGCTGCTCGTGAGCCCAGGGTGCCAGGCTTGCAGGGTCCTTTCAGACATCGTCCAAGGACGACAAGACCAAGGCCAAGGAGAAGGACCGGGAATACCTCTACGAGGCGGAGCGAAGCTCCTTAGGGCCCCGTGGAATTTTGCGGTCTTGGCCAATCCATCTGCAGGTGAAGTGGAAGGAGTTGAGCCCCGCCGAGAACAGCTACGAGTCCGTGAGCAGGCTCGAAGGGAGCCGATGTCAAAGTATCAACCCTCGGTGAAGATAGTTCCTTAGTCTCTCCGGCAGTGTCTCCGCTTGTTCTGCTGAAAGCTACGAAAGCCGTAAGCTAAACTGCTAGTCTCCTCATTGGAGGCCCTGTTCATTTTGTTTCGCAAAGGTCCAGAGCCTAAACCCCTAAAAACCCAAACACTACAAGGCCTGGCCGTTTACCGCTTCTGCACTTTGGGGCGAATTCAGAAGCGGACTACCGGCAATGACAGGGACTGATCGATTGCACACCTCCAACTCTCCACAAGTGAGTCAGGCGAAAGCCCTAGCTCCATGCCTTAGTCCGCAGGCTGAAGCAGCTGAAGGCCTGCGCCGAGCGTCACCGTGTTGCTTTTCCTGCTTTGACTTTTACGATCAGCACTCTGATGCAACTTGCATGGTTGCAGCCCGCACGAGCATCCAAGTTAGAGGTTGTAGTTCGCGTTCGCCTTTAGATTAAAGATTCCACAGCACGCTGCCGTCCGACGTCTTTGTTTAGCGGCGACGGGTGATGCAAGGGGTCAGTCTGTTCCTTCCTCTCATGCCCAAAGAAGGAAACGTAGAGAGAGTGGAAGGGAGGCAGAGTGCTTGGGAGGCGCTGAAGCTCGTGCAGGACCTGGATGATCGAATCTGGACAGCCTGGGCAGGTGCGCGCAGCCATGATTCTAGAACTGTTTGATGCTTCCGGAAAGCTACAATCCGCAGTGTCCCCATAAGAGGGAGCTGCAGCGTGCAGCATGTGTCGAAGCGGGCTCTTTAATGAAGAGCTCCCATGGACCAAGCCTTTGACAGGAAGCCAGCAGCGACCTTTGACGCATCTCGATTGCATTTTGACATGGGCTTGGCAAGAGCTGCATTTCGCATTCTCGGACGAAGCGATCTACCCAGGGATCGCGAGATCCTCTCGCATCTGGAGCCGTTTGGGCTGGACGAGGTGCTGCACAACTGAGGAAGATGTTTACGTCTGATGCATTTCACTTGACAGAGTCACGTCGGAAAGTCGTCGGAAATCGACTCTGAACTTAGTCGCAGTTTCGGGTCGTTGCTCTTTGGTGCCGCGTGGCTTGGTGTAAAGCTGCTCTGGGACAAACTCCAAAAAATGAGAAACTGTGGGCGACCGGCATGCACGAAGGGAGTGGTACAGTCTGTAGGTGCAGGGGTGGAGCAAAGCGTTGAGGAATCCTGGGACGTTTCCCCCTAAAACGGCATCTTTTCGAAGCCTCCGCGTCTGTTCTGGGAGGATGTGGTCTGCAGCCGCAAGATCTCCATGCTGTCCTCTGGCCAGAAGTGCAAGCTGGCGCTTGGCGCCGCCTTCTGGACCAGGCCAGCAGCCACAGGGAAAGGTAATTGCTGTGTTTCTGAGAGACCGCAAGTTTCTTCATCGCAGACAGACAGTGTTCGCCGTCTGAGTAATGCTTCGTGTGACATCCGCACCAGCGCGGCATTTGCTTGCGCACCCTTGTTCACGATCATGTTCCTCAGCGAGAAAGAGTTTGTTTGCAGGGTTTGGGCTCCAGGCACAAATGCATCTTGTAGCAGGGGTTGTCCGCGTAGGGTCGTTGCCTGCCAACTACGTTTTGTGAATTCTGTCTACAGACACCTCTTCCGATCTGCCTGCTGGTGTTTTCAGAACCCAAATCAAGCCTGTGACTCAAACGTACAAACCCTGGACGGCCCATGCATCCATGAGAGCCGGCACGGAGTCGAAAGCTGAGCCCCGCCCCGCCGTTCGGCTCGAGAGTTTGCGCGAGGCCCCACGTCGTGTGCCTCGACGAGCCGACGAACTACCTAGGTGCGCCCAACCACGGGGCAAGGGTGAACGAGGGGCGGGGTCGTCACGTCGCCGCCCGCGCTACTGCAGTGCTGCTGCTGCTGCTCCTGCTGCTGCTGATGATGATGTTATCTTCGGGCTGTTGTTCTGGATACCGAAGCATCGTAGCGGCAATCACCCTGGGTGACGACAAGACTAATGTTTGCAGCAACGGCTATGATACCCCGCATAGTTACAAGTGTTGATGAGTGTGGTGATGATGCTGATGCTTCTGATCGTGGTTCTATGGCATTTGTTCTTGTGATCATCACCATGAGGATCTTCAGCTGGAGGAGCAGTTTGAGGAGGGTTTTCCGTGCGCGGTCGAGATTCTAATGGCGATGAAACTGGTGATGCCCACGCGGGTGAGGATGCGGCCGCTCAACTTTGCCCTTCTCACTGACAAAGCCTCGTTCAACAGCATCATTCTTCTCGCCATCGTCATGATCATCCTCATCACCGTTTCTGCTTCAGCGACCGTCTCAGGGGTCGGAAGCTTGGGAATGCTGTTGCTTTGTTCACGTGTCTGTCCTTCTTGACGGCGCGAGAAAGCATTTCATCCAGAGATGTGATGCGGCCCTGTGCGTTCAGAGCAATCTCGAGGTTCAATCGGTGCTTTGGGCTAGCTGATCGTCGTATTCATGGCTGCTGAGACGTCTGTACAGCTAGTGAATGACATGATAAGCATACCGGCTATCTACCTCCGCAGCCATGTTTCAAACCTACCTCTACCTGCCTGCCTGCCTGCTTCCCTGCCTTCCTTCCTTTGCCAGCCTCATTAGCATACGTACGTACAGTTACACACACGTATGATGACCGCATGTAGGTTTTCGGTATTCTCAAATTGTTTTGTGTCTGCAGGTAGTTTGGTAGCGTATCCCGCTCCAAGCAGAACTGTTCTTTTCGACTCCGGTCTTGTCATTCTTCTTTCCTGCAGATACGGAGACGGTCGAGTTGCTGAAGCGCGCGATCCGAACCTTTCGTGGAGGCTCTGGGTTTGGAATTAGGACACGTGCGAGTACCACGAACAAACCTGCCTGAATATCGAACCCAGGCTGCGCCGCTGTTTCGCACAGCGAGAAATTCGTCGAAGAGGCCGAATGTCTGATGTGGTTTGCCTCGCAGCCCGGTTCGGCACTCCTCGGCAGCAGCTTTCACTCGGGCATGATTCCTGCATCGGTGCATGTTGCCTGGGTTGCTAAATGGAGCTTGCGGCGTTGGGGTTGCGCAGGTGTGCGACGAGATTTGGACCGTCGATGAAGGCAGGCCCATCGTTGACGCAGTTTTCACGGGGTGGAAGACGCTGAATGTATTTTTCTTGGACACATGCTGCAGTGCAAGGAGTCGGCTGTTTCAGCAAGTGTCAAAACGCTCTGATCTTTGACTGATGACATGTACGTGCTCCTCGTTCGATCTCGATTTGGTTCATTGAGAAGCAGGCATTCCTTCGCGCTACAAGTACTGCCACGAAAGATCATGCGCCTAACAACAGAAAGTTGCTACATCGTGCCTGTGAGAGCAGTCACCTGCCCCCAATCAATAGGCTGACACCCGAATGAACTCACAAATTTGTTTCCAGAGAGGGTTTTTCGCCACGGGATCAACAAGTTTTCGGGCCTGACCTGCAAGCTTTGCGAAGTGGCTTATAACCTATTTAGGGGCCTTACAGCAGCTTAGACGCGGATTTTGTGTGATGTCGTGTGAGTAAGTCTTGAGAATCCAGTGCCACAGTTTCAAGGCCAATCGACCGTTAATTAGAAGATTTCACGAGCCCTTGTCTTTGCTGTTCCAAAGACACCCGGCACCCATTAAAGGTGGTGCCTCGTTCGAGCCAAAGCAGAAAAAGAGCAAAATCCTCAGCCGAAGCTGCTAACAGGACGCTTGAAGGTCGAGAGGAAAGCCAAGAAGTGAGCTTCGGCTGCTCTCCTGTTGGAAGTTCCTGAACGCAGGCAATTCGTAGCTACCGTGCTCTCCCTTCCTGACAGAGTCCCAGTCGGGGAGTAACACATAGCCTGCGATCCTTGATTCCCTCAATCACTAAAAAAAGTTGCGATTTGCTCTGGGCAGAGGGCTCGAGCTCTGAAGCACCGCAATCTCAGAACATCTTCCGTGAAAGACCATCGCACCTTGAGCCCCGCGGGTTTCTTTCACTTCGTCTTTAAGTCTTGTTCACACCCTCCGGACTCTCCGGACTCCGACGTCCGCAGCGTGGAGCGCCGGCCCTGGACTCTCCTGGGCGTTTTCCCACCGATGTGCGCCTCTTTACGCAGCAAGCCGGACCAACGAAGCAAGAAAAGGACGCCTTCATCTGCTCAGAATGGTCTGATGTACTGAAAGGAAAAGGCAAGAAATAGCAGCACATGAGCTGAGCAGGCAAGTATGCTGGAAATTTCACTGCAGGCTCGGGAAGATGTCGAGATCTTGCTCGCACTTGCCCCAAAGATGAAGCCGAAGGATTCCCTGGTTCCTGCTCCCTCCACTCCCAGAGCTGCATTGTGACACTCGTGTTGATGATGTTCTTGAATTCCAGCAAACCTCCAGGATCAAACGCAGAGCATCACACTGCTGAAGAATCGTTTCTTCTGGGAGGAGGCCGGTCTACGGACATTGGGGTCTCTTCAACTCTTCATACACTAGGATGGGTGAGCCCAAACCCTGAATCCTGAACTGAACTATCTGACCCTGAAGGGTTTTTTCGGGCGTCCGGCTGCTTGTGCGTGCTGAATGTTGAGGGCAGCGGCTTATGCAAGGGTTGCAGAGATTGGAAGGCCTTGAGAGTGTTTCTCCTCGCCGGCAATGCTGCAGATGTGTGGGGCCCTCGGGCCTTCAGTCCTTGGAGCTGCGAGGATAGAGATGCTGAGGCGTTCTGAGGAAGGCTCACGATAACTTTCGATGGCACAGCTGTCACAGAGGCGTTTCGGTATCTTGAGCACTCCGGAGGTTCCTGAATATGCAAAACGGCTTTAGGCTTGCAGGCGCTTTCCTGTCCCGGTCGATCTGAGACTCTGCAGGCCAATGATCTTTCTCTGGGTTTATCTTGCTTAAACCCACAGCAGCGAGTGCCACTTGAGGATCAGCTTCAATGCCGCACTCTCTGTCTGTGAGTGGAGTCGGCAGTGGGAGCAGGCAGGCCCTCTTGCGGCAGTAAGTCGGGTAACCAGAATCTCCTAGGTGCGAGTGGAGTTGCCTCTGTTGCACTCGGGCTGTGGTCCTGTGTTTTTGTAGCTCGCAAGATGCCATCTAAATGAGCCGTTGAAATAAATTCCCGCAGCCTGCGATCGACGCCTGTCTTCGCTGCCATTTGCAGTCCTCTCAAGCAGAGGCAACACATCATGAATGGGCATCCGGGAACCAGGAAAGCCTTGGAGGTGCGTAGGCTCACTGAATGGGTAGACATGAGCTGTGCCGCGTAATGGTTTTCAAAGTCGCCCCTCAACCCCACCAATGAGAGCCCACACCTTTTCGCCTTGTGCCTACCTGCACCGCCTGCACCCTCAGGCTTTTCAGTTTAGGGCTCACCCCAGCCGATCCGGGCCACGGTGCAAGATGCCATGACATTGACAGAGTCACCACTCAGCACTGGTGCAGGCGGGGCATGGCATGCAACCCCAGCATCCCCCCAACACCCCCGTTTTCTCAACCCGACCTGGAAACGCCTACTACGGCACCAGTCCTATTATATATTGCAGCTTGGGTTCAGCCGTGGCCTTGGAGGGGAGAGCCCTACGGAGTCCTGTGGGTTGAGTGAGATTCAGGCTGTGAAGGCTCGGGGTCAGCAGGCCTGCAATCGAAGGCCCCCACCGTAAGACCTTCCCTCAGTGGGCAGACATGTAAAGCAAGTAGCAAGCGAGCTGCTTGAAGGCGGTGAGCCGGAGTTTTGGCAGCAGTGAAGCAGTTCTCTGAGCAAGACGGCTTGCCTGTGCAAGTCGGGACTACGGACTGCGGTGCATCTATTGAGTGGTTGGTCTTCAAAGGGGTCGAGTCGGGTATTGCTTGCGGTAGCGCATTGGTCCGACCATGGGTGCCCACTCAGTCCAGAGAGTCTTCAGAGGGCTGGTCAACCTACCAGGGAAAGCTGCACTGTCGAGATGCCCCGTAAAGTCTCAGAGTCTGACTCCAACTCTAGCCTAGGATGCGGCACAAGCTTTGGCAGTGAGCTTTTTCGAGACGAAGTTGTGGGAGTCAGCCACTGGATTGGATGTCGCTCCGGCTGAACCAGCATACATGCTTTGAGGTGTTTGGAGTCTGTTATATATATATATATATGTGTGTGTGTGTGCTTATATGTGCATCCACGCATAGATGGAAGCGTGCATGCATGCAATATACCTATACTCGTATAAACACGTGAATTCTGGAGCGAGCGAGCGAGCGAATGGACCAACCAACCCACCGACCAACCGACCGACCAACTAACCAACCAATACCAAGCAACAAACGAATGAATGCAATGCGCATGTGTGATTGTATTATCTCCGTGAGAGGGTGAGCCAGCTGCCGCAGGTATAAGTTCAACATCCAACTGCTTGCGTCCCGAGCGGTTGGCTGGACGACCAAGAAAGCTTCTCACAAACCCGAGCTGCAGGTCCGCGGCCTTCTGCTAGGCCTCGGCACCAACGCTTCGACGGCGAAAGGCCGTGTCGCAGCCTTCTTCGGGGCCGCTCGGAAGAAGGCCCTCCAGGTTTCATGACTCGAGGCACTCCAAGCTCTTCAGATGGACCAATGTTTCTCAATGAGGGGAGTGGCCCTAAGATTTCGAAAGACGCTTCTTGTGAAAAAGCTTATGTTTGGCTTACTACTCAGGGTAGGCCCGTGCTCAGGAGAGGTTCGCCCCTGTGCGCTCCATGACGGAGACGCCGCAGAAGACCCGGCAGGTTGCTTTTTCTCTGTTTGAGGCTACTACAGGAGCTGTCACAGGGTGATTGATTGTACGAGGGTGGGCATCTTGAAGCAGGATGGTTGACTGACATTCAAGATTCAAGACCCGGAATGTCCATGGGAAAGAGTGTGATTTCATCCGCAAGAAAGCGATTTCTCGAGCAGCCTGTAGATACCGAAGCAATGGTCAGCAGCCATGTTCTGACTTGCACTGCTCTGCCGTGCAGGCGGCCGTTGACGTCGAGAAGGATCCAGGCATTCTTGCAGCAATTCTCGATCAGATCTTCTGCAAATCCGAGACCGAGACCTCGTAGTTTCTGCCGGCCTTTACTTGGAAGGGACTGGAGTCCAAGGGCGGGCCCTGTGCAAAGCTTGTGCCGAGGCGCTGCTTTGCCGGCTCCTGCGGAGGGCTCCGACCCCGAGTGGACGACATCGGAGCGGGCAGAAGCGCGAGATGAGGTGCCGATGCCTTCGGAGGACGGATCTGCAGGGCTTTTTTCGGAGGTGAAGAACAGTGGAACCAGGCCAAGAAGGATGCTTCATTGCTACAGCTCAGGCATTGCAAGGCATTGGCTATACTACGCACCACATTCGTTGAGCTGCTGGCGATGTAGCTCCAAGAATCTTTTACTTAAGATTGCAGTTAATTGAGGACTGTCAGGTACTTGACATGCGGTTGTTGCTACCGACTTACGCCTCTGGTGTCTTTGCCCTTCCCCTCTTAGCCCCCAGGAGGACAGCGAGGTTGCATCTCCGGAGTGCTCTTTGTCACCGGGTGTGCCTGCGCTGCATCCCTCAGTGGAGGGAAGTAAGGGCCAGTAAGGGCGTTAAAGCATCTGCCTCACATGGTCAACGATCTCCTCTGCTTTTCTTTGCTGAAGCAACCGAATTTGCGGCTTGTTCCGCTTGACTCGGACCGTCCGTGGATCTGATGCATCCAAAGCTCTGAGTCGCATCCAACTTCGAGAACTCATTCTAAGGAAAGTCTGATTGTCGCCCATCTCTCTTGGCGCGCAGCAGCAAAAGCACTGCAGCACAGCTGGGAGCTTGGGTAAACGAATCTGAGCTTATTTCTTGGGCGAAGGCACAGACTGGCCCGCAAATTATCGGAGCTTCCTTTCCCTGCAATTCTACTGGCACTAGCTCTGCAGTACGGTCTTGCTCTCGCTCTACCAGGAAGGCAGGGGAAAACGCCAACCCGGAAGTGTTCGTAAAGCGAACCGCAAATCTCCGAGCCCGAAGCTCTGATGCTGACAGGCACCTGATGGCACCTGAGGAACTCCTTGAAGCACGGCCTGCGATTCCTCTGCCGATCTAGGCCTGGATGTGGCCTCTGTGTACATTGCCTCGGCGATGGGCGGAGACACGCCGCTGCGCTCCCCGGCCTGTGTCCAGAGGATCATGCTGGAGACTTCGGGACTTGATCGCGAAGGCACCTTGATGGCCAGCATCCTGTAGCTAGCTAGGCAATGGCAGCATCAGCTATCGATTTCGCTTGAAACACAAACCCGCCGTGAGGTCGCTTGTTGAACTGTTGCTGAGGTTGGGACGAGATCCACGCCTGCGACTTGGAGAAGTTGGAGGACAGGGGCTGTGGGAATGGTGCAAGCGAACTCCGCCAGCCAGAGCAAATACAACACACATGTTTTTTAAGGGACGCTCCTACTCCCTAGCCGTTGCCAGAGTCGCATTGTCACAGGAGCTTCATGCTTGTACCGAGGCCACTAAGTTCAGTGGAAGCCTCCGGCGACGCTCCGAAGCGAGCGAAATCTGAGCTGTAGAATTGTCCTTTGAGTTCACTGGGCCTGGGAGATGCAGAGGATCGCCTCGACGCTGTGTTGCGTGGGTTGCTGCGTGGCCTGGAGGCTCTCCTACTTCGAGATTCGTGGGTCTAGCAAGAGCAAGCTGCGAGATGGGATCACTCACCATCATGTCTTGCGCCATCACAGACAGCGCCAGAGAGGATCAAAGAAAAAGAGAGATTGAGAGAGAGACACGCACGGTGTCAACCACATAGGAGATGTGCTGGGATTCACTAGATGGTTGCACAGTTGCACATGGCCGCAAGAGTCAAGGGCAACATTCTCACGCAAGTCAAAGAAGGCAGGTCAGGGCGCCGGCCGGAAGCGTAGAGGTGTTCCAAGCTGTCTCGAAGGCCTGCGATCTTCGGCTGAACCGTCTGTCCGTGGAGTTGGACTGCCTAGACGATGGCGAGGCAGAAGGTGCCTTGTCGTCCTTCGCCGTTGCGCATGGCGTGCGCTGTTCTGCATGGTCGGGTACTATGAGTCCGCAAAGGGTTCTACTTGAGAACAACACTTATATAGCATTCTGTTGGGCGCCACTTCAACCGATAACACTGATGAAGGGAAAGGGGACCAACACACGATGGCCGTCCGGATCACTCAGATACGGAAATCCAAGGCGCAGAAAAATCAAACGCGGAACTCATGAGCTGCCCGAGCTACATCGGTTTCACGTTGCCCAAAAGGTGTCCACGAGACTCCGCACAACACCAAAGCCTTGAGTGCTAGACCGCCCAAGACCTGAAGTGCTGATGTCCTCCTCAGCTTGAAGGGGAACTCGAATGCGCGAAAGTTTGCTTACTTTCACCCATGAAAAAGGACTCTTCGGCTCGGAGGGCAAGCTCAAGGAGGATTTGGAAGAGATCCAGGCCAAATCTCCCACGTTTTCCCTTGTTCTGGTGTCGGTGAACACAATCCCGGTCATTTGTCATTCGTCGCAGTTACCCTTGTACGTGCACTCTTCCTGCGCCCCATTCCGCCCTGAACCCACGAAGCCCGTATTGGCGACTTGAATCAAGGCCGTTCGTGGTGAAGTGGCAGAGTTTGCCAAGCGGAGCCGCTAAGCTGCAAAGACTTGCGGACCCGAGCCCCTTCCAGTCGAATCATGGCAACGTGTTGGGTTAGGTCGTCCAGACTTCGGGGATGCAAGGTCAGGCTGAGGACCATGGAATTTGCCCACTTCTCGAGGAGAGTAGAACTTGGAGTCACATTTGGAGCGGGTGGGTCTTGTCACAAAAGGTTGACCGGGCGTCTTCTTCGTTGGCACATTTGCTTGGGCATGCTTTCCTGTTGCTTTTCACTTTGACTTCGTTGCGATGAGAACTGTCGCGTCGGAGAGGCCGACACTGGGAAGCTTCGGCGTCACGTGCCGTGTCCCCAGCCTTCGTAGACACGGAGCGAATGGCATTCCTTGGGCTTGTCTTCGCCTCTGTGGGTGCAGACCTT